ATATAATTTTTACTATATATTTTTTTACTATATATTTTTATACTATATATACATTTACTATATATATATATATATATCATTTAACTTCGTGTTTCAAAAAATGAAATGTGGAATAGATTTTTCCAAAAGATTAACTTAGAATTAATTGCTTAATGAACAGACAAGTTAGCCATGATGATTCATCCCCTGAAAAAGCAAATGAAAAAGAAAAGATAAATTATTGAATTGTTGATAAGTTTTAAACTTTGATTAATTCGTAAATGACTTTTCATTACATTAACACTTAGCATAATACATCACTTTATGACGTAGAAAGAAGGATGGAAGAGGATGATTGATAATTTCGAGATTATCATGAAAGAGATGAAAATTCTTATCATTCTTATCGTTCAACTTCTTCCAATCATTAAAGCTGTTTATCAATTGTTCCCGATCATTTGGTGATATTGGATCGAATTATCACAAAATATATCATTGATTTTCTTTGGCTAAATTTTTACATGATTTCAATTCAACAATTTTCTTAATTACCTCAATACATCTTTATGATTTCAATTCAATAACTTCGTTAATTACCTCAATACATCTTTTTGTTTTCAATTCAACAATTTTCTTAATTACCTCAATACATCTTTTTTCTTAATTACCTCAATACATCTTCTTGATTTCAATTCAACAACTTAACTTAATTACCTCAATACATCTTTTGTTTTTTTGATGAAAAAAGATTCTTGCAAATTGTTAAATAAATTCATATCATTTCTCTTATCATTATCAATATAATTACTTAATTTGAAAATTCCCAACTTTCTTACAGTATTATTTACCACAATCATAACAGTAAAAAATGACACGAAGTATTGTTTTAAATTTTAATCATAGCAATTAATTGATACAAGAATTATTTTAACTTTAGTTGTAACAGTAAAATTGACGCAATTATTTGTTTTAATTTTAATGACGAAAGTAAAATGACGCAAGTATTAACTTTAATTATAATAATAAAAATGACGCAAGCAACATTTTAATTTTAATGATAATAGTAAAATGATGTAAGCAATTGAATTTTAATCTCTAATAATAAAATTAACGCAAATGTTGCTTGATTTTCTATTACATTAGTAAATTGATTATAAGTAATACTTTGGATCTAATTAATCATAGTTATAAAATGACGATCATAGTTATAAATAAATGTTCATAGATTATTCCGCCTTACAAAATTCACTAAATAAAACAATTCGTTCTAGCAGATGATTACGATTACGGTATTTATTCCTTCTCTTTATATATTCCGGATTTTTCAATTTTCAACAATCTCTCTAATTATGATAATTTTTGAATTACTAAAATGAAATTTTGAAAAATATGAAGGAGAGAGAGAAGGAGAAAAGGAGAGAAAGAGGGAGAAAAAGATGAAATTATGGATGATAAAAAAAATCGAAAAAAATTTTTAAAAAGAATAAAATTCATTCATTCAGCTTTTTTTCCACTCACACATAATATTGATTTAATGAGAATTAAAACAATAGGATGGAAAAAAAGTTATCTTTTCAACATAGTAGAAGGATAGTGAATCTTATTATATTAACTGGGATATGTGTGTGTGTGTGTGTGTATGTGTGTATGTGTGTGTGTGTGTGTGTGTGTGTGTGTGTGTGTGTGTGTGTGTATGTGTGCGCATTATCATTTGTATATAAATTATATGTTTACACATATACGTATCTATCTATTGATGTATAAAGCATATATCTGTTTACGCTATATCGACATATCTAATTATAATTGTATATAATTATCATTTAATGCTATGTAATTTTATAGTTGTAAAATTTTGTTATTCAATCGGAAAAAGAAGTAAAATAATGATTTCTAACCCTTTTTTCGATCGCTATTTTTTTTAATATATTCGATTGTTATTGTAAAAAATTGATATTATTGAATTATACTATTTATGCGATTTATGCAACTGTATAAATTAATTAGTTCAATTAAAATTAAATGATAAAATAAAATGAATAATATGAAATGAATTTATTGCAGACAAATTGCTATAAATAAAAACAAATTTCATAATAGAAAAATGTTTATTACAAAATATCAATTAGATGGAAATGGAAGATATTTTATAGTTATATTATATGGGACATGGTTAAGTATGGTTGTTGATACATTAAATGATAAACCGTTACTTTTACTTATTTCTATGGATGGTTTTCGGTATGATTTATTAAATGCAACTCTTGTACCAAATATTTGGAAATTTGCTACCGAAGGTTTATTTATTTTCATAATTTTTCATTTTCTTTTTACTATATGTCTATATTAATTATAATTATTATTATGATTATAATTATCATTTGTATGTAAAATATTCAAATTAAATCATAACGTTTAAAATATATTATAAACTGATAATTTAGCTTATAAATAAACTTATTGATTAGCAATAAATTTATTAAATTATTTTTAAAAATTTTTTTACTATATGTCTATATTGAATATATTATTATCATTATTATTATTAATTATTAATTATTATTGTTATTATTATTATTATTATTATTATTATTATGATTATTATTAATTATCATTTGTATGTAAAATATTCAAATTAAATCATAACGTTTAAAATATATTAAAAATTGATAATTTACCTTATAAGTATAATTAATAATAATAAGTAAGTAAACTTATAAGTTTATAAATTGATAATTTAGCTTATTAAAAACTTTAATAAGTAGTAAGTAATAAGCTTATTTAAAAAAAAAACTTTAATAAGTAAATAAACTTATTAATTAACAATAAATTTATTAAATTATTTAAAAAAAATTTTTTTATATTTAAAAAAAGAATAAAAATTATTTTTCATATTTTATTTCATATAAATACAAATCAAATAATATTTTATTCAATAATTATATTAATTGTAAATGAATTTTCCATGAAGAAAATTTTCTTCAATCATTTCATTTCATTTGTTTTATATAAATTAAAAAAAAAAAAAAATATTATCTAAGTTAAAATTTCAATAGTATCACACGAAAAATTATAATAATATCTTTTTAAAAAATTATTTGAAGAAAGAGTAATTGAAAAATTCTTATATTACAATAATATATCATACAGAGAGTTTAAATAAATTTTCAATCAATAATTTCAAAAATTTTATTTCAATAGTAACAGGCCTAAAAAAAAAAAAATGCACGAAATAAGTTTAATATCATTTTAAAAAATATTAATGGAAAATTTTGAATTTTATAGGTTTATATTTTAAAGATGGTTGTCGTCCACAGTATCTCACTTATACGGCACCAAATCATGTATCAATAGCAACAGGCCTTTTGGTTGAAAGTCATGGAATTGTTGGCAATTATTTTCACGATTTTACCACTAATACGACGTACATATTATTTGAATATTCATTAAATAATTAATTAGTGAAAAAGAGAGAGAGGGAGAGAGAGAGAGAGAGAAAAGGGATGAGAGAAGAAATGCTAATTATAAATTTTTTCTTTGATCAATATTATCTATTAGTTATGAAAAATTATTATTCAGCTATCATAATTATCTCATTTAATCATAATTATCAAAATTATAATAAAGCTATCATAATTATCATCATTTTAATTAGCTATGAAAAATTATCAGCTATCATAATTGCCATTTAATTCACGAAATGACTTATTCGATTATTAAAACTTTTAATCAACAAATGCATCATTATTATATCAACTTATCGATTTATCAAAATTATCATTTATTTCTTAAAAATAATAATAAAATTTACTATTAACTAAATTATTAACAGTTATTTTTCGTTCATTATCAAAAATCATCACGAAGTTTTTATCTGATAAAATTACTAATAGATTTTCTAAAATTAAAACTTATTGAAATTATCTGCCGAAATTTATAATTCATATAATATTATTGAAATTATTATACTATCTTTATATAGTTTTGCTTATTTGCGAAATTCTTACATCGTTGCATTATTAATTTTGGTTTAAAATTTAAATTTCAAATTTCATTCTCACTTAAAATTAATTTAATTTTATATTCTTAAATATATCATATGATATTTGATAATAGTAAAGGTTCGATTTATTCAATTCAACACAAAAAATCGGAGCAGTGAATAATTCCTTAATGGGACATTTTTATAATGGTGAACCAATATGGCTTACCAATGAACGTGGTGGCTATGGAAGACGTTCAGCTACGATGTATTGGCCAACAGGAAGTGGACATTGGCCATCGGCACCACATAAGCCAACATTACACAAGTAAAATAATCATTCTATTTCTTGTTGTTTCTCTATTTACCCACTTAGATATAAACACGTAATAATAATTCCATTCATCTCTACTGAAAAATATTCACTCGTTTACTAATTAATATTTTATCCATTTTCATTTATATCCATTTCATATATCGGTTTTTCAATTTTAATTCATTTATTTTTATTTGTTTGATTTAAATTAGTTTAATTAGTTTTGTGCAATTAATTGTTGTAATTTTTGTATAATTAATTATTATCATATCAAAAATATCAGGCCATGGTTGAAATATAAGAATTTAACTCAATGGTTGGAAGATTTTGATGAAATTGTGGAATTATTTACGCGTGAAAAAGATCCTTACAATTTTATTGCCTGGTAAGATTATTATTTCATATTGTTAATTTATGATATTATTGCTATTTTACTAAATTAGGGAAATTTCGAAAGATAAATTAATTATAATTGAGAGAGTAATTAATCACTAGGAAGAAGCTTATAAATTCGACGAAAATTTTTGGCTAAATGAGAGAAACTCATAAATCGATGATCATTATTTGGTGTATAAGGATAATACGATGAAAATGATAATGTAATGATAAATGATTAGGAGAAGTTAATGATAGTGATAAACATATTAGAATATAATCTTTGAAGGTATATTTCTGAACCGGATCATTTCCTACATTTTAATGGATTTAAAAATGGTAAACTTGAGGGAAAGATGAAAGAGATGGATTTATTAGTCAAATATATCAATGATAAGTTAGAAAAGAATCCAGATCTATTGAAACGATTAAATATTATTTTAACATCGGATCATGGACATGCTGAGGTATTTCCACTTTTTTTCTCCAATTTTTATCTTTCATTAATCTTATGTATGATATAGTTTTTGTTTTAACTATTTAATTACTATTATTAATTATATATAATTGTTATTCAATCATAGCGTAATTTTAAAAAATTTAATGTAATTTTTGACAAATATAAATAATTGAATTATATTTGATTAATTACATTTTCCTATTTTGCCGAAAAAACAAACTGTTAAATTATTGCATATCAATCATTCATTAAAAGAAAGCGAAAGATTAAATAGTCTAACAGAAAGTTTAAGAAAAAGTAATTTTTAATTTTCTTCTTTTCCCATTTACCTTCGTTTAGTTTTTTCAATAATTAATAACAATCCCTTCTTCATTACCTTTAAGTGCAAACGTTCAACAATTTCACAAAATGTATTAAATTAGAATTGCTAAAACGTTCCTTCTATTCTTGCCGTTATTTGTTATAATCATTATTATTATTATCATTAATTATTTATTATTATTTATTATTATTATCATTATTATTATTATTTATTATTATTATTGTTATTAGTATTAATTATTATTATTATCATTATTATTATTAATTATTATTAATTATTTTTGCTGTTATTAGATTAATGATATTATTGCTACTACTATCTACCATTATTTCAAAATTTTTTGTTCATCATAAAATAAAATTATTAAAATGAAAACAGTCAAGTGATATATTTCAATCTCTTTTTTTATCTTCTTATCAAATAATTATGCTATTTATGATAATATTTCTAATTAATTAAAATATTCTTTTTCTTTCTTCTTCACCTTTATTAATTTTTATTTTTTGTAAATATCATTATAAGCATTGTAGATTGAAGGTGCATCAAATGAATTATGCTTGATAGAAGTGATCAATATTGATGGACTTGTATTTGGTGATCGAATGATTTATGTTAAAAATACCGATCGAAAGCATCAAATTTATTCAACTTTAAAGAAAGTTATTAAAGATGGTCATTATGGTATCAAAGTATATTATAAACAAGTAAATAAATTCTCATTTAAAAATTAAAAAATTATCCATTGATAATTTTAATCTAAAATTGATAGATTATCAAAAATTAGATTAAATAATTTTTGCATCATAAGTTCGATTAACATTTGAATTAAATGAATATGAATGAAATGTACCATTTATTATTCGACTTTTTCTAATATAATTAGGCAATAATAAAAGTTACCGTAATGAAATTTATCACTAAATTTATCAGGAATTTTTTTTTTGCCAAAATTTATTAAAATTTTTAATTAATTTTAATTAAAATAATTAATAGAATTGTTCATTTAATTTTTCATTTTAAAAAAGTTTTGAAGTTGAAATTTCAATTATTTTCTTTACAATACAATATTTTCAGGATGTACCAGTAGAATATGGATATTCTAAGAATGATAAAATTGGTGATATATTACTTGAACCTGAACCCGGATATAATGTTCGTATTAAATGTTCACATAGTGTAAGTATTTTTCTTTTAATTTTTTTTCTCAGCTTATTTAATTTTCCATTAATTATGTTATTTATTATTAATTAGGATCAAGAAATTTCGCAACCGTTTTCTTTTTCATCGCATGGAATGAATCCAAATCATTGGACAATGAAATCTATTTTAATAATGAAAGGACCAATGTTTAAACAAAATTATCAGGTAAATATTATATGTAATATATTTATAAAATAATTTGTGTATTTTAAAATTTGTTTGAAATTGTTTGTTATCTTTTCTTCTTTATCATTTTGTTATCATATCATATTTCATTTAAAGATTATCAAATTTAATAATAAATTTAAGCACCGAAATTAAAAATAAAAAAATACACAATAAATTTAAATTATTAAATATTCTCTTCTTTTGAATAGATTGTTGGAACAGCAAACAATCTTGACCTATATCCATTGATGTGTTATATTTTGGGTGTAATACCAGCACCAAATAATGGTACCTTACAACATATGATAGATGTATTAAAAATGCCAACAACACCTTCATTATCAACTAAGGAAATCAAAGTAATTTAATTTCTTTGAAAATTATAAAATATCTCTTAAATTAAAATTATCAAATAATTAGATGACAGATAAGGACGAAATTTATTCAACGTTTTTTGATCTGTTTGTTTGTAAAATTTGATTTTTAACTTTTAATTTTAATTTTAACAGATTTAACGATTTTTTTTAAAGTTTTTAAAAATGAAACAATGGAATAGTTTTGAGTATTTTAAACGGGAAAATTATATAAATTTATGTAATTTATTTAAATCATGATTAGCTTATTACAATAATTAGCTTATATAAATGAAATTTTGTTATTAATAATTTTCTATTAATTAATATATTTGCTAATTTTCCATCTTTTATTAATGATCATACCTATTTTTTTCACTTATAAAAATTTCAAATATTTTAATGATAATTTTCTCACTGTATTGTTTTTTCCTACTTAGTGATAAAATTAGCTATTAGGTAGAAAGATTATTACGATCCTCTCTAGGTTCAGAAAATTTGCAAAATAATTTAAATAAAGAATGAAACTTTCAACATCTATTATCTTTATTGATCCTGAAATTATTATATAATTCGTTATCAAATAATATTAACACAAAATTATCAATACTTTTTCAGTTAATAAATTAATTAATTATAATTTTTAGTTTAATTTATTATAATTCATTTCATTCTTTATTTTTCAGTTTCTAACAATAATTATATGTGGTGGACCGCTAGTAATATTTCTGATTTTTCTAATTATGTTAAGCCGACAAGAAAGGTATCGCTTATTAAGAAATAGGCATAAATATTATCATCCGCTTACCCATAAATTCGATTATGATATTACCGATTCGGTGGATGAAAATTGCAATCCGGAAGATGAATTATGATATATATATATATTGTTTTCCATTCCACTATGAAATACGAAAATACGGATTTGTTAATTAAATTGCAAATGACAAAATGATATTTCTTTGTCTCTGTAAAATTTATCAATTAGTAGTCAGTTTATCTAATTAATTTAACTTTTTCTTTTGTTTAATAATATTCAGTGGCATAAAATTTCATTCTAAAGTTAGATTTTTATTTTACTTTTTCCTTTTATTAAAAAATAAAAGGAAATAAAGATGAGGAAATTGTATGATAATTTGATACATTGATAAAAAATGAAAATTATACCATAAGTCTTTCTGCTTTCAATCTTATAATTTCATTTCTTAATTTCATAATTGTTCAATTTTGAACTTTGCCCTTTCTTCTATTTTAGTACTGTTCTGAAAAAAAAAAGCTGTCATTATCTATTTTGCACAATCGAATTGCATATAATAATAAATGAAGTTATGATAAGCTATCACATTTAATGAAATGATATATGTTTACTTCTCTAAAAAAAGAAGAGTGGAAAATCAGTGAAATAATTAACTTAAATTGAGGAATTCGATATAAATATAATCGTGCAATAATAATTGTAGCAATAATAAATAATAATAAATGACAATAATAAATAGTAATAATAAATAATAATAAACAATAATAATAAATAATTATAAACATTAATAATAAATAATTAATAGTAATGATTAATAATGATAATGATTAATAATAATAATAATTAATAATAATGATAATTAATAATAAGAATTAATAATTAATAATAATAACAACATTAATAATAAATATATGTTGTGGTAATTATTGTATGAATCATTTCTTAGTTGATTCTTCTGAGGAGAAAGAAAGAAAAATTGTCAATGATTGATTACATTCATTATACCATAAAATCATTAAGAGAAATCTCGGGATTCATTATGGGGTGTAAGCATTTAGGATTGTTATTTGATAATACCTTTTAACTGATATTCACTTTTTTGTTGATTGTATGATTGATTTTCTTTTCTTTTCTTTTTCAAATTGCTACTATGAAACTAAAGGGCATGTAAACTTATGTGTAAACTACACATATAAAAACTTTTAAAAATGTACTTATTTACGTATAAATTGTATGAAAGAAAGAATACGAAATTCGTACGTGAACAGGAAGGAAAACTACGCTTAAATTTCACGTAAAAAAATGAGCGTAAGACGGAAACGTGGCATTGGATTTCATAAATATCAATGTTGAATTGTATAAATTCTCGGAAACAACTGGTCAACAATGAACCACATAACACATAACAATGGAATGAGTGGCACAACGAAACGGCAAGTATGAATTTATTGACGCGTAAATAACCACGGAACCGTGTAGAGTGGCTATTTTGGCCGGTGGAGATTTATTATGGATGCGCATCGCCGTCCAGTTGGCATATTAGCTCGTATTATACGTTTTTTGGTTGGTGACGAAATTTGGACACCTTCTCATTTTGTTGTTTTTTCATTCACATTTATAAGGTGTGTAATTTAGTTGAACGAAAAATAGATAATGATTAGCAGTTTTAATTTCAACTATAAATTAAAATTTAATTGAAAATGCAAAAAAAAATGACATAAAGTTTGATTATATGACTAATTAATGTTATAGTAATGATTGTTCTAGTGTTGAAATAAAATAATTGAGTTAGATTTTTCTATTATTTTTAGTTTATGATATTAGTACGTATGAAATATATTGATGATTTCATTTATCTTTTAGTTATGCATTAGTGCATGCTTCACGTAAAACGCTGAGTACGGTAAAACCGTCTCTTATCATCGAATGGACTGATAACAGCACCAGTGAGCAACCATTATTTCCTGATAAACATACAGCAGAAGGATTCTTAGCATTCCTTGATTGTGCATTCCTTGGCGCATATGCTTTGGTGTGTATCTCTTTTCTTTTTTTTTTTTTGTATTTTGAGAAATTAATAATTATTTTGAGGAGTTTGCAGAAATATCTTCAGTTAAAATAAGGAAAAGGGATGAAATCACGGGAAGATATTGATGATTCATCTGATTTCGTCTCTTGTCCCCAAAAATAAGCTGTCAGATACGATACTAACAGATGAAGAATATTAGGAGAATATACGGGTGACATTCAGAAATGTTTGAGAAGTTAGCACTGTTATTTTCAGGGCCTTTATGTAGGTGGCACATTAGGAGACCGTTATAATCCGACAAAAGTACTTGCTGTTGGTATGTGGACATCATCCACTGCCGTAAGTTTACTAATATGTCAAATTTCTTGTGATTTGATAGTGTTATTGATCATTAATCGAATCTTCCTGAAACATAAGGCGCGAAATACCGCATTTAGCCTGAAATTCAGGAAGACAAAAATTGTTTTATAAATTGATGGCGCTCAAGGTAGCTACATAAAAAGAGAAATGTGTTATTGAAATACTTTATTCTAGAATAAACTGGTTTGAAATAGCTACATTCGACATAGCGTCAAATTCTAGTTGCATTGAGAGTGTTATATCAGTAATCCAAATGATCAACTGCATAACCTTGATTAATTTTTCAACATATGGACATCTGTTTTTGAAGGTGTTTTTGTTCGGGATGCTAAAATGGTTAACGTTTCGTTCGCCTATATTTTACGCCGCAACATGGATTGCATGTGGTTTATTTCAGTCTGTTGCTTGGCCTACTGAAGTATTTTTTTTAGAGTTGTTTGGAAAATTCGCTTCGTTTATGAGTTATTTTCAAAGTAGTTGTTTTTTTGAGTGCTTTTGAGTTTGCCTTAGAGAAATCCTTATGACTTAAGTTGGTCTTATATAAATGTTACATTTTTTATTTTTTACTTTTGTGAAGACGATTTTAAAAAGTAAGTTAACGGAGGATGACACTCGTAATTTCTCATGTACCGAAGTATGGAACCGATTACAGATCTCGATTATGGGTAATTGGTTCGGGCATAATAGTCGTGGCGCTGTAATGGGGCTTTGGTCAGCATGCGCTTCAGTTGGAAATATAATGGGCACGTTGGTTTCATCTCAAACCTTGCAGTTTGGATACGAAGTGAGTCATTAAATAGTGAAGTAGAAACGTTTCTGATCCAAAAATTTTCTTCATTTTCATCATTCACTATCAACCATTTTTCTGTTTGTAATGTGATCGTACGTAAGACTTAGCTTTATGCTTTTTTTAGTGACTGTCTAACAATTTGTCCTTTATAAAGCTATCGATAATTAATAACCATTGAATACATCTTAATAGATTTTTATGCTTACCGAATTTCAGTATTCGTTTGCTGCAAATGCTTGTTCGCTTTTTTTCGGTGGATTTTTCATCTTTTATCTCTTGCCGTCGCGAAATGGACACGGTATTTTTCAGAATTATATTTGGATTTGTTGATCATTTAATTAGATTTGATTGCACATGCATACTGATATTAACTAGTTTTTTTTCCCTGTACGATTTATTCGAGAGTGTCTATTTTTTGATTAAAAAAAACTCAATGATGTCAACCGTTTAATCATTCCTTTTAATCTACCTTCCAATCACACGGCGGGTGATTAGAAGTACACATTCATTTAGATGAATATTAAGTTATACGTTCCATATAGAGCGCAACGCAGTAATTTCTGTTGCGGATGATTTGGAACGACCGAAGGCGATCAGTTTTTGGCAAGCTTGGTGTCTTCCAGGTGTCATTGCAGTGCGTTTCTACATGATTTAAGTTTCTCAATAAACAGACCAGTTGGATTTTTGAAAATCTATCTGTATATTAATCATATCGTTCAAATATTTCAGTACTCTTTGGCATATGCATGCCTCAAACTGGTTAATTATTCATTTTTCTTCTGGTTACCGTTCTATCTCTATGCTCATTACGGCTGGGAAGAATCTGTTGCTGATGAGTTATCATCATGGTATGATGTAGGTAGTATCGTTGCTGCAGTTGTTGCTGGCATTGCTTCTGTGAGTTACCGAACTTTTACTTCTATCTGCAAAGGACATGTATTAAACTATTTTGAAAACAATAATTTGTGAGATTCTAATCCTGAAAAATTCATCTTCTTTATTTTAGGATCATTTCTCGTCGCGTACCCCAGTTTTGGTATGCTTGCTAATTTTTTCAATGGGCTCCTTGTTTGCTTATGCTAGTAAGTCCTAATTATTCAAATTTGCTGCTGTAGTTGATGGTCTCATTTGCTATTTTGGGTGGAAAGGGTGATTGTTGTATGCTTTAAGCTTTATTTCACCCATTTTAGTATAATATTCAGCAATTTATACGCTTCTGAATATGCGGAAGAGATAACAAAAAAGGACATAACAGTGGACATGTCAAAGTTAGCTTGGTGCATGTAGTGGGTTACGTGAAGATTAGGTAACTTCTTGATTTGAAAATATATGAATTAAATGAAAATATTGATCGTTTTGTGAGCAGAGTTATCATATTTTCTAGATTCACCAAGCAATTTTTTGATTAATTCATTCCTAATGGCATTAACCGGGTTTTTTGTCGGTGGACCATCTAATCTAATATCGTCTGCTGTTTCTGCCGATATTGGTGAGCTTTTATTTATTTCGCAGCGCTTTTCAATGTGCATCCAGATAGATAAACTTCACTTCTGCGAATGTCCGACATATCCAGCAAAAGACTTTATATTTCAGGGAAGGCTGAACAAATCAGAGGATCATTGGAAGCACTGAGTACAGTTACAGGTATCATAGATGGGACTGGTAGTGTTGGTGCAGGGATTGGTCAGCTTCTTATTCCAGAAATTAAAGCTCTGTTTGGTTGGACAGCTGTCTTCTACGGCTTCATTGCTATGGTATTGCATTTAATTATTTTACTCGCGTGACTTATATTTTAAAATCTGGATAAATTTTTATAATTAGATTTATTATATGACATGATAGTATTTAGAGAAATTTGGATATGTTAAGGAAGAAAATTTATTGGAGTTTCTTGAATTGCAGATGTTTTGTGCAGTTCTGTGTTTGGCACCGCTGTTATGGAAAGAAATATCCAACAGACGAAATCCTCGTTATGTTTCTCTACGTTCCGAGGGCAGTAATGATTCACTGGGATCGTATTTCGATAGTACGACGAATTCAGCTATGAGTACTTCACAGCTACCGGTAAGAGTCAGGCATCGAAATTCACCAGATTAGTTCAATCATCATAAATTTCATTAATGATTTGTATATTCCTTTTTTCTCAAATTAAAAAATGTCAAATATAGAATTTCTGGGTTAACAATTCTGCTGTTGTTAATAGTAAGATCATGAAATGGTTATTGATCAATGTAAATGTTTGAAAAGTGTGGAGTAGTGCTGATGGCTCAAATGATTTTTCTTAAGTTATATCTTTGTAAAGTATTTAATTTGTTATGCAACTAAATTGAAAACTTCCACTGTCGTGTACCTAATATTTATTTCTGATTAATAGTGGATAGAATTTATAGTTGAAATATTGTTATTATCATTGCTGCTGCACGAATTTCGTGTCGATTGATTATGATTCATTTCTTTTACTGGATTTTCTCTGACTAGCTCAAATAATTTTTTTGAAGTGATAGCAAATATTTGTATGACTATGTTGTTAAAAAAGTATTTTTAGTTATTGGCAATCACAGAAGTGGGTAAACAGAGAGGCAATTATAAACTTGCAAAGTTGTGGAAATTTTCATAAGACGGATTCAAAAATAAATAAGACTTTGGTGGTATGCCATATTGCAAACTTATAATAGCTAAAAAATTTTTTTTATTGAACAAAAGTTTTTCGTATGATCGTGTAATTGCTATATATTCGTCAGTGATAAAACCTTTGCGGACACATATTTTATTTCATTATGAAGTTCGAATTACTTTATCAAAAATAGGAATGAAGCAGAAATTTAATAATAGGTAAAACATTTTTTTTGTTCCAGATGTTTGTTGGATTTTTGGAATGGGATATGCATCATTCAAGCTGTATTATGTCAGAAAATGTGTTAATAGAGCAATATAATAAAAAAGGAGAGAATCTATGTTATACAAAGGATAGAATAAAATGGATTATTTGAAGGAAAGGAACGGAGTATTTGTTTGTAAAAGAAAGGTTTCATTATTTTGCTTTACACACGCAAATACATAGAAACAGTGCACACATCTTTTTTTGCATAAATAGAATACAATAAAATGTATTCACAGATTTTCTGTTCATTACAAAAGTTGGAAAGAAATTTGTTCGTTCATTACGGATGATTTCATCAGCTGATTGATTGGTTGGTAAATTTGTTGTCTTCCTCTTATATTTTAGGAAACATAAGGGAAGCAACTGAATTAGATTTTCTGAATTTGGAGGCATATCACAATTGATTATTTAAGGCATATTGTAGCATGCAAAGCAACCGGTTTATGTTGTCCAACGAATTTTTTCTCCGCTACCAATCCATAGTATAGACCAGATGCGCAAAATGAATCCTAGAAAAACGGAAAATGAAACAAAAGGAATATTCGAGATGTCTAAAATCAATGGCAAAATTCATTTATATCGTTCTGATATGCTTGCCAGTATGCTTCATACTGTACTTCAAAGCTAAATACGAATAATCGTTCTAAAATTTCAATTTCATTTCTCAACCTAAACTATTTCCCCCTTAATTAGATTACTTGGTAAAACTTACATGTCTGAATAAATCGCTCAATTTCTCATTATACAATACGCGATCAGCCCAGGCTGGGCATAAATTTTTCATGAATTCCTCTTTTCCTGTCGCTTTACTTATACCATAATGGCGTGATGGCTGTAAAAATTAATTGTAAATGTATAGACAGCTTTTAATATCCATACTTCAGTGAAATATTAGAATCGTGGATTCTGAGGAATATTAGATTATATAAGGGATGAATCAACTTAGAACACAGTTTAGAATAAATAATCATGGAAACACATTATAATTATTGTTTCAGATTTAATTGGATGAAAATTTTACTGAATAAAAGGATAAAAATTACGATTACTTGGAAAAATACGGATTCTTCCAGTAATTTACCAGCGAAAACAACTTGTGCAAGTTCACCATTGTACTTTTTGACCATTTGTCCTCTACCAAGGCGGAAGAACCAATCATGTATGGAATGAAGATCGAAACGATGACTTTCCACAGTTAGCACACTCTTCAATACGACAATATTAAGTATAGGAGCATTATAAATTTTTTTAATGATTAATGATTAATTTAAATATTGAATAAATCATTTCATAACTAAAAGAAAAAGTAGAAAAAATAGCCTGAAGGATAAACAAGAAAGTAGTTAAGTGAAATTTTAAATTCAAATGAAAATTTTGCAAAATTTTAACTTGAAAATTTACAATCTCTTAGCAACTAAATATAGTAATTCAAATATATACATATTCTAAATATTTCAAATTGAAATTATAACTTATTTTTCCTAAAAATTTTAAAATTTTAAGCTATTTATAATTTTAGCATACAAATATCTTTACTAATAAGTAAGCAATGTAATGATTATTTTTAGCAAAATGATAAAAGGCTAAAATATACTCGTCCACGACGATCACGCTGTTCAATACCTTCCAATCTGCCATCAGAACTTTTTCTTGCATAACTGGTTGCTTTTTGAGTATTTGCCATATCCTCGATAAATAAATAATTTTAATAAAATTGAAAACAATTATTTGCTAAATTTTTTTTTTTGCTTTAAATTTAATAAGACAAAAGATTTTTTAAATTAATTTTATAAAAGTAAGAAAAACATACGCTAAGTAAATGTGTTTCAAATAGTTGGGCATTAAAAGCACCAGCTACAAGAACTGAATCATCTTTTAATCCCTCCGATTCAATCCTAAATATTTCTCTTACAATTATTTAAATTATAACTATACATTTTTCATTTTTGAATAATTCAAAAGATATTCTTCAAAAAATTTCATAAATTTTCAATAGATAACTTGTAACTTGTAAACTATGTGATAATTTTATTTTTTATTGCTATATAAATCTTTATTTCTAAATTGAATAATAATTATCGAAGTGATCAATAAATTTCGGTAATAATTATCGAGGTAATCAATAAATTTCGGTAATAATTATCGAAGTAATCAGTAAATTTCGGATATGAAAAGAAAAACAAACTCTCTAAGCAAAATATCAATTTGATTTCTTCGTAATCGTGCAGCTTTGGTTGTTTCGGGCTGTAAAAATATCATATTTAAAATTATTCGAAATGTTTTTTTTCTTTTTGACACTTAAATTTTACATAATAAAATTTTGGAAATTTTAATTAATAGAAATTTTAATTATATTTTAAAATTATAATTTTATAATTTTATATCGTACAAAATTACATTAAAATTATTTGATTAATTTATTAATTGAAAAGAAAAAAAGATTAAAAAATTTCGTCAATCATTGATTATTAACCTGTTCGACAAGTTCTTTAATATCTTCAAATGGTACGGTATGTAAGCTAAGATTAACAAATGTAAAATCACGACCATAAATACGGAAACGTGACATTAAATAACCACTTTGTACGAAATTTCTTTCATTCGATTTCTCATTCCATTGACTATCATTACGCTGGAAAAAACAAAAAAAGATAACAATGAAATATTTTAATTTGAAATTTAAAAATTTTTCGAAATTTATAAAAAAAGTTTAGAGTAAGAAAATTCGATAGAATTTTAATAAATAATTTATTCATTCGCACAAATTTACATTTTTGAAAATTTAATTTTATTCGAAATTAAATTTTCAAAAATGTAAATTTTTATTTACGTGACTTTTTTCGATAGATTTCATAGAAATTTATTCTAAAATTTAATTTGTTGAAATTTAATTAAAATCATACATAAAAATCTCCTTCATAACGTAACGAATAATTGGAAGCTGAGCTGGAAGCATTAAATATGTTCGAAATGAAACCATCACATTTTCGAGCACCAATTTCATACTGATGACCTGGACGTAGAGTTTTATAACCGCTATTACTATAACGATCAAATGATTCCACTTCATCATGATTATGAAACAGATAAATTGATCCAAGACCCTAAAAAAAAGGAATTAATATTCAGGATGATACAAGCTGTAATTTGCATTATTTAGCTAGCCTGGAATTTTATGTAAAAATTACTAATTAATCTAATTAATTAGTTCGTTTATGTCTGTAAGAGTTTGATATCAAACATTATTATTGGATAACTTCTAAAAAAGTTCTTCTTTTTAAACTGAAAGGTAATGAACATCAACATGAAATACACGAATATTAGGCCTTAATAGCTTATGATAATTATAATTTTAAGCTTTTTATTATAAAAATGGCTTTCAATTAATTAATTAAAAAAAGATACAAATTTCGAAATTCAAAAATTTAAAAAAGGACAGAATAGGCTTAATTTTAAGATGGAATAACTTTAATGACTGGCGAAACATTTACTTGACAGTATCATATTGACATTAAATGAAATATACCAAAGGTTAATGTTGATGTATGTTATCGTTAAAACTAAAATTTTATAATTTAATTTTTTAATTTGTAAAAAAAAATTAATTAGCTCATGAATTTTAAAATATACCGTTTCACGAGTGTCAAAATATGAACGACTTGTTTTAAATAAATTTTGCAATTCTGTTGCATCGTATAGTATGCTAAAAATGATAACACTGTTAAGATATGGAAATATTTGATAATGAATCTTTTTTTTTTTAGGAAATTAATTTATTTAAAGAAATATAAGTGAAGATAATAATTTATATGATATAAATAAAAATTAAATTTTATATTGTCAACATTTATTAATTAGTACAGGTTGCAAAATGTACTACGACTATGTATTATCAGTTTTCGTTTTGTCTTCCTGATTAAACATATTTTCCTGTATTCGTAGCTAATGAAACAGAACCATTCGAAATAAATGTACGAATTTACATAATTCTATTTGTTAACCGTACTATTTAATTATGATGATCAGTTGAATACTATTTAATTATGATATATGATGATTAGTTACATTTCTGAACAAATGAAACAATCATTTTGTTATAATCGACTATATAATTATCATATCATTGTAGTTACATCATTGTAATTACATCATTATAAAAAAATGATCAGATTAAATTTCGTAAAAAGTAGTTATGATAAATTGATAAAAGATATAA